TCCTGTATAGTTTAGCATAAACAGGTTTAAAACATAATTGTAATCCAGCTTGTTAAAATATGCTTGCATTATATGGCAAACACCACATTAACTCAGGGTGCTAAATGAATACACTAAAAGCTGTTTGTGATTAAGCAGCACTCAGACAGGCGTAATACATTAATCACACAATGTAACTGCAAAACTGTCAGAAAAGAATAAAAAAAAACACAAGCAACTGGTCATTTCGGAGCGGGACATCCAGTGAGGTTTCTAGGCCGTTAAGGACAGAGCCCCGACCCCCGACCCCCGCACTGACTTCGGTGTGAGGGTGAAGAGCGACTCCTCGCCCTCCTCCATAGCCATTATGGCTTTCTCCACACCCAAAGGCAGGCTCAGACGCTCTCCATCTCCGACCTCAAAGCTCAGCTCCCTCCGATCAAACACAGTGGCCTCCAGTGAACCCTCCAGAGTCACTGTGGGGGACAGATAGCAGCCTCCTGTTAACCAAGAACACCCCCCCAGCTGGACCAGTTCACCTCCACCCCCTTCCAACATGAAAACGTTCTCAAACACTAAGGTGGTGAAAAGCAAACGGCCTCGACGGGAAGAGGTCCCATGAGGGCACGGCCTTGCCTCGCACGGGGGAGCCCTCGCTGGGTTTGGCGTGTCCACCCCCTCTGGTGATGATTCGCTTCACGACGCCCCCGTCCTCGTCCTCCGTGACGTCCTCCCCGTGGAACGCGAACAGCTCCATCTGTGGACGAGGGTGGGATGGGCGGTCACGCGTTAACCACAGTGAAACGGGGACTCGAGCAGAGGTGCACACGGTAACGGGCCGCAGGAATAAACACGAGTCGGGGAGAGGAGCCAAGAGGGCCGCCGGTAGCCATGTGAAAGGCGGCCTTACCTCGAAGAGCAGCGTGGCGCAGGGTGGAATGCTTGGCGGGCTGCCGGCTTGCCCGTACGCATACTCAGGCTTGCAAATGAGCTGGCATACCTCCCCGGCTTTCATGCTGGCCACGCCCAGATCCCAGGCCTTGATCACCTGACCTGCAAATAAAAAATTCTCTCTCACCATACACTCTGATCTTGTTCCACCCCCTCGCATCTGTGAAACATTTCCTCAGCCCCTGGACCCGATTCCTGTCCAGGCAGCGCTCCGTGTGCAGGTGCCTGCGTGGTGAGCCAGGGGTACCTTTGCCGAGCTCAAAGGAAAACTTCTCCTCTCGATCGCGGCTCGAGTCGAACTTGGCGCCGTCCAACAAGGTGCCCACGTAGTGCAGGTAGACTTTGTCGCCTGTCATCGGAAGCTCTGTCCCATGACCCTGCTTCTTCACCAGCTGGGGGGGCAAATTTTAACAGTAAACACACTTTAAGCAGAATCACTTTAAAGAAAATCAGAAGGTCCAACCTGCCAATAAAAATTTAACTCCCAGGAAGTAAGAAGAATGAAGAAGCTTAACTTAAATTGGTTAAAACGATTAAAAGGAAGAGATTACATTTTCACTTAATGACAGATTAAGACAAAACTGGCTGAATTATATTTGTAAAATAGCTCATCAGGGCCGGGCTGCAAACTTTAATATCAATGGTAAACCAGTAGTTCGTTTTTTGTTTTTTTTTTACAAAACGCATTATCTACAAAGCAGGTGATTTGGGTTGAATGAGCGACATGTTTTGTGCGCTTTTGTGTGGCAGAAGCGCAGCCGAGCTCGCAGCCTTGGGAAGATGCACAAAGCGAGTCCGTAACATACAATCAGCCGCGCGTCCCCAACAAACCTGCACTTGTGCAAATGTTCTCAGCATCGGGAGAATCACTAGTATAAAATGAAAGTGAAAATGTGGGATGATGATATGAAAACATACTATTAAAGAAATACAACATAATGTTGAGTGCGTTCAGGCTGATGATGCACAATAATCTAACAAAGCGACTTAATTTCAGCATGTTAATTTGAGCCCGTCCTGCACAGACGGAGCCGGACGCGCTTTGTGCAGCGCGCTGGACTCGTGTTTGGGTGGGACTCGGGTAGGTTTGGGTGTCAGCTGAGAGGGAACAAGAAAACGATGCAGGAGATCGTCCGATCAAACATCCATTGCTCGAAACCCGAGAGCAGCCCGCCGCCCTGGACAGCACTGAGCGCGGCGCTCCTGACGGTACGAGCGGCGTGATCGCAGCCCGCGTCTCGGTTTTGCTTCGGCTGCAGGACCAACGGGGACCAGCCATAGTCAGACTGAAGCTCATGTGGAAAGAGTTCATAGCGACAGGTAAGGTGCGATGCACAATAGGAGCCTGAAATTATCATGCGAAAACCACAATCATCCGTGCTGTCGCACGCACATTGCAAGCTGTAAACAACTACAAGCACTACTATGACTATAACAAAAACAATACTACTACTACTAATAATAACGGACATTTCTTCTGGCGCTGGTTATACGTGAACCACGTATCATCCAACAGCACGTACTACTGCCAATGCAATAAAATAGTGAGACAGATACCTTAAGCACCCCTCCATCTTTCTTTAGAGTGATATCTTCTCCCTCCATCTGGAAGGTGCGCCGTGCGTCGCCGTCGGTCACTTTTTCCGCAGTCATGCCGGAGATGTGTCTCCCCGGGTCGGTGGGATCAAACGCCGCCGTGCGCAAACCTGCGGGGGCACTATGCGCTGGGGTTTTGGAGAAGCACGCCCAGAAAAAGCAGATCACCGCCACCAGCAGCACTACTTGGTGTTAAGTGGGTGAGCATGCAGCAGCTTCATCTGCAGACATCCATCTGCTGCGGCGAAGTTTGTCAGTAGTCACGCAGACTGAACTGCGCAGCCACGGCTATAACTTTCCTTTGGATAGCCTCGGCGAGCGCACGACCGGAGCCCTTATAGGCGGATTTTGCCGATACTTAAATCTCTTTCTTTTTTCCTTCGCAAGAGGAAGGGCAGGGAACTTTCCAGAGAAGCGGCAAAGTGCGCCTCGTTTTAAGCAGGAGCCTGCAGCAAAAAAGGCAACGAGATCGCCGCCAAGCGACCGATGGCGGCCACTGACCGGCCGGCCGCACCGCGCCTCGCCTCGCTGTCTGTCCGCTGCAATAACGCAATTGTTTCCACGGCAGGGACACAGTTCTGGGGGGAGATAACTGTAAAAAAAGTAAAGAAACAGTCTAAGAAGTATTGGGAAAACCCATAAAGGCAACCTTTATTCATTTCGTTAATATAGCTGGAATTGAAGCATTAAGCGCACAAGCAGTGGACCCGTTATAAACGCCAGCGTGCCGTGGTATATTATTGATGTTGATGTTGCATGGCGAGGTTAGTGAGGTGTTACATTTTAACTTGCCGAAGCAGAAATGACGCTTTGGGTGTTGCGGCACTTCTGACTGATAACCGTGATTTCCATGCAGACGAAAGGCGGTTCCCTATGGCATTGAGCCAGGAAAAAGCAGAGCCCGTAAAAGCCTAGCTTAGTAATATTGCACTTCTTTATTTTCTCCTAAAACATTTCAGCCTAACTAATACGTAAACAATTAGTGCCGTAACGCGCACGGAGCGATCGCTTTCGGTAATGCTGCTGCCGCCACCCTCCGCTAACCTCGCCTGCAGGTAACTCCCCGCCTGAAGGTAACTCCCCGCCTGCAAACGGGCTGGTATTTTCCGGCCCACCGGGAAAATGCCCGGTATGCCAGATGACCAGTCCAGCCCTGTTGCCTGCACACGACGTTACGCAACAAACAAACAATTTAACTTATTACTCTTTATACCACGTTGCTATATAATTTGGTGACTATTAAACTGCTGTAATGAAACTAGAAATCCTTCAACCAGCTGGCGCACTTTAACCGGTTTCTGCAGTGGCGGATCCTGGCCAGGTTAATATGTAATAGCCCAGGGTGCATCGACAGCCGAAACCACCGCCTACCCTCCACTCTCGACAATTTTTACTGACAGCTTTGTGGGGTGGGGGGTGAAGGTTGCTTAGGGTGCCACCCCGGCTTCGGGCTGCCGCTTTCTGCTCCTTTCCTCGCACAGGCGTTCAGCTTTGCTGGATGCGTTATTACGCGTCAGTACCAGGTTGGCTTTCAGTGTATGGCTGAGACTGGCTCTCACACTCAGCTCCATCGCATCTCACCCATGACCCCGTTTTCCTTACGGTCCTGCTCGCAGTATTTCACGTGTATTAACTCATCTCACTTCACCTCTGTGTGTCACTGTTCCTCTTATTTACTTAAGTGTTTTTTTTTTTGGTAGAAATTTCTCTTTGTGAGGCCTGAGTGGCACTTCAGTAGCCAAAACGATGCTTTAAATGGCTGCATGTTGCCGGCTGAGGGCCTGTACCTCGTCTTGCAGCCCTGCCTCTGACAAAGTCCTTTTTCTCTCACGGTTTTCATTAAGATAACTGAAAAATGATTGCCTCCCTTTCTCCTCTCTGACCTTCTTCGTTGGTGGGCCTAATCTCCGTGATGGTCTTGCTTTCTCCGCTTTCCGAACCTTGGTCCCCTTTGCAGTAACCTCTCCAATGAGATCTTCCTGAAGTGGATGGTGGAAGCTGAACTCCACATTTACAGCAGGTAACCCTAAACCAGAAGGTACGAACATCCCCTGAACAGAAATTTCCTGGATACAATTGTGGAAATCACATTATTGCCCAAGATACTTAATGCCTCGTGACACACAGCAGGATAGGTGGCTTGGAAATAGATGGATAATTCTTAATAATATATTGCTGTATGAATTCCAATCAATCATTACGATTTAAAAAGAACTAATACATAACTGCTGTGAAAAGCGTCCCAGCAGTTACGAATGTCAGAATGGTGCCCAGGAATACCAGGCGTCTGGAGCAGGTACATCACTGACCAGCTCTGACTGCTGGAGCCCAATGGGGCCAGCAAGGCATCATGGGAAGGCCGCGGAAACACTGAATCACTGACACCCTCACATTCCCACCCACTACACTGATTTCTCCCATCCCCACTGTGTAAAATGCACCGATACGATTTACAAATAAGCAAACAAGCTGTATCTGTTTACTCTGGGTTTATTTCTCCTTATCTGTAAGTGTCCAGCAAATGATAGTGAGGATTAGCTTGGACAGAAATGCCTATGAGGAGCGGAAGATGGAGAGCTGCGATAGGCGCTCCATTAGTTATGGCTTGGCAGTCACTGGGTGGGTTAATCCAGTGCATGGTGCACCCAGCCACCACCAGAGCCATATTTTTACACATCCCTTCAACTTCTGCTTCAGGATTCAGGCTCCCTCTGAGCTCTCGCCGAATAAGTTACTCCCACTGGATCCAGTGGATTCCCCCAACTCTGCTGACGTGTGACTTCCGGGGGAGCAGAGCTTGCTGTTGGGTGTTCTGGCGGGATGCCGCGCCTGCGACCTTCAGCGTGTGGGTTCCCAGCGGCGGGATGTGCGCTCTCATGCACCCAAACGCTCCACGGCTGCACAATCCCCCCCCCCCCCCCTCTGACTTTCCCACATGCTCAGCTGTGCTTTGACGATCGTTTATCAGTGTGTCCTACATAACTGCAGTGACTATCATGGCCAGGCACGCCGCGTGCCGCGCTCATAGATAAGTGACCTGTCCGTCTGGGAGCTCACGCTCGCTCGTCGTGTCTCTGAAGTGCTGTTTCCTCAAGTGTTTCTGCCAAGAATCATTAAGTCCACTGCTCTACGGGCAAGCAAGAAGCAAGGCCACAAATAGACAGAATCATACCGCCACTCTAGAACCTTCCTCCGTGACCAATTCGCATTTCTAACCATGTGCTAATCCTGCAAAGAGGCCACGACTAGCTAATATTTCCACTTTGGGTGCGACAGTGGTGTGGTGCACCGGGTGGCGCTGTTCACTCTGCAGTTGGCACCATTCACTCTGACTGGCCACTCTGTTCCACACAGCCTGGCCCTCAGACTGGGACCAGGCAAAGTAAACTTTAATGCTCAAACGTTGCTAAAAAAACGATCTGGTTTTACAGGCCTATAAAGCGATTTTGTTACCCTGTTTGTACATAAAATGTTATGGTCGAGTGGAAAAGATGTGTCACAGTAAAATGTTAGTGGGTAAAAGGCTGCTTACTCATGACGGAGAGATTCCTTCCTGACACGCTGTCGCAGGGGTGCAAAGACGACTAGTCAGCTTCAGAACATTTCAGCATTTTCTCAAGCACTTAAAATGATGCAATTCAAACAGCATGGACCCAGCTTACAATGAAGGAGACACACAGTGTTCAGTAAAAGTCATTAAGAGTTTTTTGGTCATTTCATTATTAATCTGCCTGGACACTATATTTGTCTGTCAATGACAACAGTCTGCACCCTCGTCAGAGCGCGTAGTGTTGATGGCTGTCCATGCCGGTCCGTCAGGAGGCGGGGCATCCACGGTCACGCCTCCCAGTCATCCTCATCATCGGCAGGCGGCTGCTGGGGTGCTGGGAGAGGAGGGATGACGTCCGAGATGCGGGCGAAGGCGCTGCCCGAGCTGGCAGCAGCGTCTGCCCCGTCCCCGGTGGGGCCTTTACCGGAGATACCTGGCGGGAAGCAGACAGGGCTGTCAGTGCCGGGCCCGGACCCAAGCCGTCGCATCCCATTTTAAATGCGATGGGTGTTGCCATGGCGACAGACCCTTTACTTAAGGCGGAATTCCACCGAAAGGCGACCGCTTCATCTAATCACTCTTCAAGCTTTTTAAGGTAGCGGGAGCCCATGTACCTCGTTTACCAGTCGGAACGAGCACCAAAGAGCCCCAGTGATTTTTGCTGAGCACCTCGCTTCCCGGCCCAGGGTGAGTATCAGCTTGGCGCGTTTCCCAGGCCGCCACTCGCTGTCATGCTAAAGCCCAGAGCCTCTCGCACGCCAGAGAAGCAGGCATCAGACTAAAACAGCGGCAATATGCCGAGGGCACGGTTTTACGCCGTGGGCTTCCATGAAATTTAGAACTGAAATGCGGGTGGAGTTAGAGACACGAACATCACATCTGGAACGTCAAACCCCTCAAAATGACGGTGAGATTCTGGTGAGAGTCCCCCTCTCAAGTCACAGCACCGAGGCATCCCACATCACCCCTCTGCTCTCATTATCAACAGTCATCCATACATGGAATGGATGAGCTGCTCCGTGCGGATGTGGCTGTAGGCGAGGCCCAGGCTTGTGGGCCCGGCGGGAGGAGGGAAGTTGACCCAGGAGCCCTTCCGAGGGGTGCTCACCTTTCCTCCGCATGGCCAGCTTGTTGAAAAGATCGGACATGAAGTCTCCTCCGCTGGTGGTCGCTCCCACTGAGGTGGGGAGAGGAGGGCAGTCAGAACAGAAGGCGCGTGAGTGGCACCATGTGCTGGCAGCCACGGCCCTCTAGGGGGCGCTCACCTTGCTCCTTTTCTTTCTGCTTCTTCTTCTCCATCTTCCGCTCCTTGACGTTGCGCAGCTTGGCCTTGCCAATACCGCCTGCCTTGCGGATGGACTCCAGCAGACTGGCCCGACCGTCCGAGGGCTGCACCACCTCCGAGGGCGCCCCCTTCAGCACTGCTGCGGCGGGACAGCCAGGCAGACCAAAGACACTCAGCTGAAGGTCACTTTCCTAAGACCCACACAGAGGACGTGGCTCCAAAGAGCCCGGAAGGTGCTCGTACCCGTGGGCTGGGACCCAACGTCTGCATCACCGGTGGCATTTGGTGTGTCAGTTGGAGGGGGCGGGGGCGGAGGAGGGGCAGGTGGAGCGCCGGGAGGCGGGGGGGAGCTAACCGGGTTCTCGGGAGGCGGGGGTGGGGGCGGAGGAGGGGGCGGGGGCGGCACTTCAGCTCTTGACTGCAACCCTAAAATAAAGAGTAGAAAGGGTTTGAGAGGAGCAAGCTCAGTTGGAGATTACAGAAGGTCTGCAGAAAAGACATCATCTTCAAAGTCTGGAAAGAACAGACACAGGGAGATCCCACCGCTGGCGGCTCTGAAAGGTGGCGTCCCCCATGCCCGCGCAGATCGGGCTCAGAGTCCTCTTAGCATGACAGGCTGCCCCTGCGCTCTAATTAGCTTTTAATGAGCCGCGTCGAGCCAGCGAAGTTGGGCGCTAACCGCCAGCTGCAGAGGGCCACCAAGCTCACCCTGCCCGTCTGTCGTCTCCGGCTTGCCGCTGAAGGACGGCAGCTCCGGCATGGTGGCACTGGCGGGCACGGAGGGTGCGAATCCCGGGCCCAGGTCAGCGCTGTACATGAGGTCGTCGGCGATGCCCGGCAAGTCGGGCAGGTAGGAGGGCACGTCGATCTCGGGAACCTGGCCCAGGTCCGGCACATAGAAGTAGCTCTCTGCTGTCTGGGGAAGGCGAGACGCGGCGGCAGAAGAGTAAGTGAGGCTTGGAGAGCCTAGACAGTGTCAGCCATCTTTACGAGAACAGAACAGCGTGGAGATCTGGACTCAGACGCAGCTCCTGCTGGCTTTCCAGCACTGTCCGAATTAGTACGCAAATCAGCAGTGAAATCAAACCCACGCGGATCATTTTCACTTTCAACCCCAAGGGCACATTTCAATCTGACGCCATCTCAATACGTCAGAGATCCCGTCATGGAGAAGCTTATACTGGCCGCGAAACAGACAAAGCCAGAAACGTGCTGTCATGCGTGCTCTGGGAAAGGAAGGCACAGGTTAACTGCACCTTGTTCTGAGCTATTTTCAAAGTGCTACAAGCATCACCTCAGGCTCACTTAAGAATAATCTTTGGAACAAACAATATTTCAACAGTATTTCGGAAGTCTTTATCCCGCTTGGCGAGATCGGGTGGAAAATGAATGTGCCTTTATTCAGACTTTCGGTTTTTTGGGAGGAAGCTGGCTGAGAGTCACACACTGGACCAGGGGAGAAGCTGCTCTTTCCACACTGGTACTGCCTTACTTGCTTCTCCAGTTGCTCCCTCTTGGTCATGGACAGGGGGGCATCAAAGGGCTTCTCCTCCTTCTCCGTCTCCAGGGTGGTGTGCGTCTTGGTCACCGCACCCGCCAGAGGGTCCAGGAACACGTACTTCTTATAGCTGCCGGGAAGTGCAGGCAGATGGTCACTGTGACTTCACTCTCAGGCCCTCGGCGCCGACGCAGACAAGCAGACGTGGAGTGGGAGTCCGCGTGCGACCAAACTCACAGGTTCTCGGTGGTGTTGAAGAGCAGCAGAGAGCTGACAGAGTTGACGTTCCTGGGCAGGCTCCCTAACCCTTCCTCGGCATCGTCCTCCAGGGACTTCTTGGTGTTGACGCACACGGGGAGGTACATTAACTTCTCCTGTGGGAGACAGTATGAGCCAAGCAGAAAGGCGCAAAGATCAGGTGTCAGTCAATCAGACTTGAGAAATGACAGTTACAGCAGAATGATGAGGTCAGTGCATCTCTGGATGACATGGGGGAGGAAACACCTACATCTCCAACCTAACACAGCACAAAACAAGTGAAAGTGACCAAGCTGGTGGTGTCTCTCTTTCCTCTGTGGCTGTACCCAGCAGTCCCCAGCACTACACTCCCCAGTTGACGTCATTCTGACAAATGGCAGTAACACTTCTTGCTGATTAACAGTGTAATTACTTCATTCCACAGACCGATCTTCAAGTGCCTTCACGCAACTGCCAGTGAGCTCAGGACATCAGCTAGTCAGTTAGAACACTGCACCCCTGATCAGAAGGTTACCTGCTCGAATCCCAGCCCTTAAAGTTCAAGGCCTGGGTGTAGTGCTGACAGCAGTACAACTGTGATCAGGAGGGATACTCAAACACTGAAGGGACCCACCGCGATCGCAGCCTCACGAAGCTGGATGTGGGGGCACAACCCAAACTGAGGGCCAGCGGCACTTTCAGGACGGGGGGGAATGACTCACGCTGGGCTCTCGGGGCCCGATATCATGCCGACACATAAAATACGTTAGCAGGAGTCCAGCAGCCAGTTATAAAATGTACTATGAAAATGGAGCCGGCTGGCAATGAATTAAGCAAAGCAAACATCTGCACCTGGACCCACAGTGCGCACACACAGACACACACAGTCAGGCCTCAAAAATGACAAACACAAATTAAATCACTGGGGAAATTAAGCGCATAACATTACCCAGAAAAAAAATCATTATGCAGCACAAATAAATGAAGACGCTGAAGTCAACCGATTAATCTCGCTCCCGGAAAAGATTACTTCACAGCGGTTTTTCTAAAGGGGGCTAAGGGACAGTGTGTGTGGTTCGGCCATGGGGCTGTAATGTGAAAGAAGTTTTCCAGAAACCGCCACATATGAACAGTGCTGTTTGCTGATGGCTTCTCAGCTCAGGACGCGGACGCACGACGGCCAAAGGCCTGACCATCAGCCGGGCCGCTCTCCGCAGTCAGGTAGCCTGGAATACTCCTTCAGCAAACACGCTAGGAGACCAACGCCGACCCGACACATGGAGAATGGCCGTCGTTAATTGCCGACATGCTGGAGATGCACTATACTCAGGCAGCGGCTGGGATATCTCTAATCAGTCATTAGATGTGCCCAGAGAAAAACATAAATGCAAGAACCTCAGTTTAGCCAGATATGCTGGGTTATCCTGAGCAGAGATTCTGAGGAGGAGCGCCCGCTTAGCCTGGACCAACGCTGCCGTGCGTTTACCGGCGTGCAGGGAGGGTGAGTAAATGATATGGCTGCTGCTAGCTGAAGAAAGCGGGCATGCCATCACAGCCTCGAGTTAAAAACACACGGTGTGGCCACGTGCCACTGGTTGCTCAGAAACCAAACTGCAGAACATTTGTTCTCTGACATCTGACGGTTACCGGCTGAGGCCCATATGGATGCTCTGTATCAAAGCTGAAGGAGAGACGTTCTAATTATGTCTGGCCGACACCAGGCGCTTGGTAAACTACCCTAAAGACTAACTGTGGCATGCGAATGGCCAGCAGTCTCTCCCACGTGCAAGGAGAGCAGGGCTGTATCCACATCTCGACAAGATACACGTCCCACCTTTCAGAAGTGCGGTTTCTCGATGCCATCTGGTGCCGGTTACCCAGCTGCAGTCGGTAATGATTACAGGGCTTCCATATTAAGCAAGAAGAAAGGGGCCCAGGAGGTCTGAGGGCAGGACGGCTGTGTTTTACAGCAAAAGTTCTTACCATTAATTACTGCAGAAAAGCTGTGGTTGTGTTAGATCTGCTAGACCGTGCAGTCAGACGAAGGAAAAAGACCCAACAAAGAATACAGATCATTTCTGTGTTATTTATTCTGCGTTATCATAGTGTTACTCTGCAATATTTAAAGTCCCTGTTGTCCTTATTTTCTGGTGCTGCTTGTTACTTCGATTCCTTAAATGTACCATTAACTGACAGTCTGTGGGAGAATTATGCAGGCATCTTGATATACGGACTACATGACAAATTGAAGTGATGCAGCTACAAGTTCTGAAGCGAATATGATGAGTGCAGCCACAAAAACCCGTAAGCAACACAACACAACATTCCTCACATCAGACCAACCGCGGAATTTCACGCCTCTGTAATCAGTAATATTTTGAATGTCAATGACAGGAATTTATTCATAAATGTTTGCAGGTCTTTTGGAAAAAATTCCCATCTCTTTACCGTATGTCTACGTGACCATTTATATGCAGTAACTACAGGTCAGGGCATCCGCCCACGGAGACGGACAGGGGGGCTTCCCTGTGCTGCAAGTACCAGAAGTCTTGTGTTCCCGCGGACTGGTCCGGCTGCAAAGGTATAGGAAGCTTGTCACGCTGTCGAGGACGGGAAACAGCCCCGTAACAGGTACTCATCAAAGGGCCACGCGCACTTATCGCACCTGCACTTGGTTTCCCTGGCAACAAGGAGGCTCTGCAGCCATCACTGTTCTTGGTGTTGGGTGCCGCACAAAGCAGCTCGGCACTGAACCAGGGCTCGTTTAGTAATGTCCTATTTTATTATGATTTAGGCTCCTGACAGAGGATGGCCAGAATGCCTGGGAAAATGATCACATTGCACAGCAAGACACTGGCACAAAACTCTACTTAAGCGATATATATGCTCAGCATGTTCATACTGGAACAATAACAAATGGGGCACTGTACCGGGTTATTTCTGCCTAGAGTGGAGGGGATTGCAATACTACGGCTGATAATGGTACATCACAGTGTAACACTGACGATCTCCAATAGGTGGCAGCAGAACAACAACAGCCCAACATACTATGGGGACGGTGACTTGGAGCACACAAGCTGCCCCACACTTAATTGTGACAGCGTACTTCAATTTGGATATGCTTTTGTGGCTGGGGCTGTAACGCTAAAGTTTCCCTTTAAGGAACGTTCTGTGTACTCCAGCTATAAAGCTGAGCCCACTCCAGGCTAGTGGTGGGCTATCAACATACCATTAAACATTTATCCCTCCCTGCGAAGACACCTCAGAACAGAGGCGGCCGGCTGGCAGCCAACATGTACCAGGGCACCGTCTCTCCCAAAGGACACTCTGCTTGCTTCACTAAATAAATCATAAGTACAACATTTATAAACAGAAAAAACTGGCCCTTAATCCACTCCCGAGGCCACTGATGCAGGAAGTAATCAAACAAGGCATTCCCAGAGCCTGCAGGACAGCTGATGGGCTGCATGGTGAGAGACAGGACTGGAGGCATAAAGGGAAGGATGAATGAACGACAGCTTCAAACACAGCCAGCGTCCTCAAAACAGGTAGGACTAATGAGACTTCATTACAAGGAAAAGTCTCTTAGGTAACACCTGGTTTTGACCTATGTGTCCATAAATAGTTTTCTGTCACAAGAAACAGAATAATAAAAGGAAACATCAAAAATGCAGGAATATAAGTAAACATATCAGTATCAGCCAATATTTGTTATAAATCAAGGCATCGGTCTGATGTGTCAATCTTGGTTGTTACTGGCAGCTGTTAGTTCAGCCAATATTCAAAGTTAGCTGCGGCAGAGCTAACATCTCCTGAAGTAATGTAGATGATTGCACTGGACCATCAGCCATTTTCTGTAATGGAGGATGAGTGATTCTGTCGGCTCAGTCAGCACTTAGAAGTGGTCTCAAAACACCAGCCCGCGAGGTGGTTTCATACAGCCTGTGACATGTTTATGATTCATTATTAAAAGTGTTTCACCGCCAACACAATTGGCTCGGAGGTTAGCCAATTATCGCTATCAGTAATATTTGACAAAAATAGATCATTATTGGTCAAAATGTACACATTAGCACACATTAGGTAGTGAGTGACTCCTGGGACAGGACAGTCGGTGTGCCTGCCTTGCCTGGTTACCTGCAAAGCCTTCTGGTCCAGGGGGCGGTGCTTGCTCTGGACCTTGTAGCGGGGGCGCTTCTGGGACGCAGGGTCGGTGACATCCACAAAGATGGAGGAATATTCCTGCAGCTTCTCTGGTGCCGGGTACTTGGCACTGGAAAACACCTGCATGGATGGCACAGTCACGCCTCCGGTCACAGGAGGGCCGGCCCTCGTGCTACGTTAGCATGTGCGGACAGCGAGCTGACGCCTGGCCCCTTACCTTGGTTGCCTTCTTACTGCCTTTGATCTTGTCCACGCGAGCCTGGGCCAACTTGATGCGCTCTGTGACGGCCTGTAGGTGGCAGCGGTTCTGCTCCACGCTTTGGGACACCCTTAAGGATTGGATCAGAAGTCAGATTACCTGCTGAACACTGAGAGAAGGTGAAAGCAGGCGATTACAGACACCGTTGTATATGTTATCACACTTCAGAATTAAATGGAAAATCCCAAAGGGGCTGACTGGTTTAGGGTCAGTATCCCGCCAAAACACGCATTAGGGTGTATTAATGGGATATTTCACACACAGTGCACGCCGCTCCGTTCATATTCCCCTCTCACTCATCCCCGTTTTCTCCTCATGAAACGCGCTGGTCTACAAGCCTTAGAGCAGAACCTTGTGATCGACCGTCTGTCTCCGCGGCCTGAAGGGAGCCATGGCATTGGCTCTCAGCACTCGTGTGTAATGCCAGGGCCGCTGGGGTGGGGGATCCACATGGGATCCAGAGCTCAATGCCCCTACGGTGCCTTTGAGACCCCCCAGAAAACCCCTGGATTAAGGGTCAAGACCTGGGCGAAGCCTCAGCACCGGCTTTGGAGCCCTCAGTTTACAGCTCCGTCCATCTTCACAGAGCTCTCTCCATCTGGGCATTTCTCTGCATCCCCTGTTCCTCTCCTTCCGTTGCCTGTGTGAGGAGGACAGCACTTTGGAGCTGCTGTCACACTCCGGCTGGCTGCCACCTGCCTTAATGACAATGACAGTTCTAAACATCTTAACTCCCCCCCCCCCCCGCCATTCTTCTCTCTAACAGGTGCAATTTCTCGGCTTGTCGTCATGGAAACCAAACAGGTGGCTTATAAAGCTTGGTCGCACATTCGGATGGGCACAATCTCCCTGCTCCTGATTCACTCGAGCCTTTATCGATCCTCCTAGCCGAGCAGGGGAGGCGTGGATCAGCGCATGGAGAGGAAAACGCTATGGGATACCTCAAGGGCAGCCATCCACCTGGAGTTTCAGAACCAGATGCAGAGTACAGAGTGATTTTGAATTTTTCCTGGCATGAGCTTAGCACACATTCATTCCCATAAAAATGTTATCCCACTATCTGGAATAACTTAGGAATAACTTTAGCCTTAACGGAATGAGAGGTCCACATTCTATAAACTTCACTGACAAGGAACAGTGGATACCATAAGTAACAACTGGGTAACTAGCCGCGTTCATGTCAAGCCAGCCCAAAAACATACTCCTGTATGAGGAGACCATACGCTATTTCCGGTGGCTCCCTAATCAACATCTAGCACACCCTCTGTAATACATACACTCCCCCAAGCACAGAAAAAGGCAGGAATCCTGCTATTTCCCCAGTATCAGTGGTGTATAAGGACATTATGCATTTATTATAACAGGCACTGACAATGACTCAAAGACAGCTCCATTCTGCTTCCGCGATGCCAGATGTTGGCGTTGGAGCGGGTGACGTTCAGCCCTGGACTCATTAACAGGGCAGCCCTTCTGCCGGCGAACGGCTCGTTGCGAACAAAGCGGGAAATGAGATCCACATTTCATTAGACGCTGAACCTACTCCCAGAGTACGTAAGGGGAGCTGAACCTACTCCCAGAGTACGTAAGGGGAGCTGAACCTACTCCCAGAGTACGTAAGGGGAGCTGAACCTACTCCCAGAGTACGTAAGGGGAGCCTACAAACTGCTTCCAGATACTAGACAACTCAGCAGGCAGATATTCGGAACGTCTTATTAACGGTCTAAGACAAGCATGCGAAGATTAACACTACAACAGGGATTTCCTGAAACAAAATTAAGAACCAAACTTGAACTGCAATTTGGCTTTCTATGAAGGACCTTTTATGCCTAGTCAGATTTTAAAACTATTAATCAGCCAATCAGTTAACAAGGCAAAAACTGCACATTAAAGTGGAAGAAATCCCTTTTGACAGAAGCCTAATTTGTTTTCAATCCTTGATGAGCCACTTGCTGTTTAGGTTAAATTATTCCACTCTTATACCAAATGTTCAATGGATCTGGCCTCCATTTACCACAGTGACCTCTTTCTAAAGTGGTACAGTCCTACAGAAGGGGCCTGCTTAAGCACTTAGGGGAGACCCCTTTCCAAAGTGGTACAGTCCTACAGAAGGGGCCTGCTTAAGCNAAGGGGCCTGCTTAAGCACTTAGGGGAGACCCCTTTCCAAAGTGGTACAGTCCTACAGAAGGGGCCTGCTTAAGCACTTAGGGGAGACCCCTTTCTTTAGTGGTACAGTCCTACAGAAGGGGCCTGCTTAAGAACTTAGGGGAGACCCGTTTGGGGTCTGCAGTGCAGAAGCACATGGACAAGGATTTAAAAAACTGCCCCCAATAGAACTCATTGGACTGCCAAGTGAACCTGGAAACTACCTCCCATGTGGACAGTAACTAGCCCCAGAAGGTCATTTACATCTAGATCCAAAAATGTCATGGCATATTATCCAAAATTCATTCATCCAAACATCTGTTTTGTATTGTATGCTTCCCAATTATGAAGACCACAAGGTAGGATAGATTGAGTTTTCATAATTTCCTCAAAGATGAGAAGGGGAAATAAGTCAAGGCCTTCGATCAGGATCACCATTACTTTCACATGCAGGACGGCCCTGCCGGGGACGATGGAGGGTCAGGGTTACGGGTTCCCCTACGGATGCCAGGACGACCCTGCCGGTGACGATGGAGGGTCAGGGTTACGGGTTCCCTTACGGATGCCAGGACGGCCCTGCCGGGGACGATGGAGGGTCAGGGTTACGGGTTCCCCTACGGATGCCAGGACGACCCTGCCGGTGACGATGGAGGGTTACGGGTCCCCCTACGGATGCCAGGACGGCCCTGCCGGGGACGATGGAGGGTCAGGGTTACGGGTTCCCCAACGGATGCCAGCATACCTGCTGAAGATGTCAGTTGAGATTTTCTCCAGGTACTGCAAGGCATCGGCGATCTGGTGAATGGCCTCCTCACGCCGCAGGTCTGGCTGGATGAGGGGCACAGAGTACACCTGGCCCTCCAGGTAATGCTTCTGGGTCATCCTAGGGGGCGTCAGACACATCAGTAATGCACACACGGCCAGTTACTGAGGCTGGGTAACAAAATGACCATGATTAGCAGCTTTACAAATGGAATTTCTGCTACAACACTTATATGCTATGCATGTTATTATGTTAATTACACCTTTCTGTTAATGGCTGGGTTAACTGGTCTCCCACAAGAAATTCATCAGTCGCCAAGATGCTTTTACCAAGCATTTCAATTCATTTAAATGGCTTGTGGTCAATTCTGAATTCACTGGACATTTGCTGTTCTGAATCCTGTCCACCAATTAAAAGCAGCTCATTTAGTGGGTTAGTCATGCTGAAGAGCGCAGTGAGCTAAGGAGGCACTGACAGCAGGGACACGGCACCAAACAAAGAGATTCCACTCAGGGTGTCGGGGCCCCAGGGAGACTGACAACAGTACAAATGCTAGCTGCTACAAAACAAGAAGGTCCAGCCGTCTGCTGCACTAGTTCACTGGGCAGACTGGCATCTACGCTGGACAACGTCCACTATTAGCTTTTAACCTGATTTGCTTAAGCTGCAAATGACAGCCGTGGGATTCAGTGTTATGCGGGAATCACAGGCAATTACCTTCATCTGGCTAAAACAAGAAATTAAATGCATCAGTCACTAACAGATTGAAAAATACACAGAAACCATTTAAAAATATACAAAGTATTTTGAACAATTTTTTGATCACAAGATGTAAAAATGCTCAGTTTGCCTTTATGAAAATGCAAGCTCCTCCCCGACTGGTTTGCTGTTCTACACCAACATTTATGAGACATACATATTAACTCCCTGTATAAATATGAATATATGAAATATGAGGTGCTGTCAGGGTTTCTTAATACATCCATCAACCCAATGCTGAATGGGCAAGAGCAGGGGGTAATGAGGGAGTTTGCATGAAAGACAAAGAGGACCACAAAAATGCCATGCCACCCTGCTGGGCCTGGCAAGATAAAATGTAGAAATTCTATAAAATGCAAAAAGTCTCCTCTTGCAAACATTTGGCATGAAAATTCTTCAAAATTACATAGGGAGAAAGAATGATGCGAAGGACACTTCCCTTGCCTTCTGTGTAGCAAACGACCTATTTGTGGGCATGACAGTACGCATCACGATTAAACCGGAGTTCATGAACCGTCCACCTAAAATGGATCTACGTACCAAATTCAAACACTTTCAAACACTGCATCCCTGTGAACCAGCATAGCAAAGTTACTATGGAAGCCCGTTTCCGCCATCTGGAGGAGAAAAAAACCACACACATTTATCTCGGAAGGAGCGGAGGCTGCAGCGGCCGTCTGCTCTGTCAGGATTTTCATATTTACAGTTGTCTGTGTGAATGGTAGCCTACATCGAAACTTGAGAGGATAATGATTTTGTAAACGTTAACCAGGATTGAAACAAAGAGGGGCAATAAAACGTATCTTTCACCCAATCAGCTGTGATACAGGCACGTTTATCTTTCACTCAATCAGCTGTGATAAAGGCATGTCTATCTTTCACCCAATCAGCTGTGATACAGGCACGTTTATCTTTCAAGCTACAAGTCCTGGATAAACACACTGGCATCGCACGAATAACTGAATAACTCACACCGAGCATGTGAAGGCAGTACCAGTGCCATCCTGTTTTACTGCTAAAATGCAGTGAGCCAACATGAAATCCAAAATAACCTGCCAGCAGATAACATTGTGAATAATGTGTTTGGGATATCTTCTTAAATATCATCCTGCAAAGGAGGTGATGCTGCCTGACTGGATAAAAATGAAAGTCAGAATTTCAACTTAGTAAATCAGAATTCTGAGATAAATGTGTTTTTTTCTGCTCCAGAGGGTGGAAACGGGCTTCCGTAAGTTACTCTGTACAGGAACTACTAACGAAAGTGTGCAGCTTTCCCATCCGCGCACTAATTTCAGGACATGAGCAAAACCACAACAAATGAGGGGAGGGGGGCATAAGAATTAGAAGCAATAATCAGCTCCAAGTTTTTGAAAATGTTTCTCTTCCATTTGGTAAACTGTTCCGTAAAATAAACACACATTTCATTTATTATATTATTATTATTATTATTATTATAAACAGAAAAGTGGATTTCTTAACCACTGCAGGTGAGATCCCGGAAGGATTTGCTAAATACTTTAGGGTAGAAAAAATTTATTGGATCACAAAGCTGCTTGATGAAGATGGTGGGCTGTTGTATTGCTGAGCAGTACCTCCAATGGTGATTCATTGCATGACAAAAAAGCAAAGCGCACTACTGTAATATTAAGGACAGTACACACATTTGCCAGGCAAATAAATTCCAACGAAGCTAAACACTGCAGTGTATTCTGCCGCATATCAGAACCCAGGTACAGCTACTGCACACAGCTCGGCGGCTAAAGGCTGGCATTTTATAATGATTACCTTGTCTAGCGTAAGAGAAAGAACTGCTTGTGTACTCCAGCTGTGAGACTGGCCAGGCCTTGGCATGGTTTGAAAACCTGGCTGGTGGGTTTGTGGCAAGGCTGCAGTACTATGCCGTTAATCACACAACGGCCCCTTGCTTTGCTAAGCAAATGTTGCTTAATCCACCTCAGCACAAGAACAGAGTCCCACTGCATGAATTATTCATTGTTGTCATTTAATTACACATCTAACAACATCACAGGGCTGTGATGGTGACTGGCATTGCATGGGGAGTGATGGCATTCACAAATAAATAACAGAACATGGCTCAGTGCCTGTCCCAGACCTCACTGCATAGGTACGCTGCACATTCCACAGCTGGCTTCTGATGCTAGCCCTGCCAAAAGCCCCCACGGGATGCCTTGGCGATTACCAGGATAAGCGTAGGCTAATTTGTCAAGTCACAGTGTGTTCATCACTAAATCACCCCCAGGCATTAGGATAACTTAGACGACACTATACATTTGGGTCTTCTGTCTCCACGATCTCCGCCAGTCCCAATACCAATAACTCAAAAAAAGCAGTGTCTCATGGAGAGCAAGACGGAAAAGTCGAAAACAGAATTTTCCCACATGGATGAGTAAAGTGTCACTGTCCTATTCTACTGATTATGTAAATGTTATTGCCAAATAAAAATAAAACATTCTATACTTAAGCAAATATCACTGAAAAACAGGAGGGCTACTATACAGTCCATCCGTATTAGTCATTTAGATAACATTTTTTTTTTTGCCCTATGTGGGACATTTGACTTATTCAGTTACCTTCTGAAGCCATGTAGGCATATTAATTTTACATCCATCTATGCAGTAGAAAGCATGGCTGACATTCACCCCGTGGGAGCAGATGGCAGAGAACAAAATGCATGGTAGGGATGGGAATTTTTAATCATGGATTAATCACAGGCTGAAATCAGAGCAGGTTCGCAGAAGGGGGTGGGGGTGGGGCTGCAGCCTACCCCAGGTAGTATGGGCACAAGGCAGCGGAACACCCTGGATGGGATTCCAACCCATTTCAGGCTGTGCATTCGATCACACAAATTGTCCCACACAATTCAGAGGCCAGCTGACCTAACCACAGGTTTTTAGATTATGGGAGTAAACCCAGAGTACTCAAGTCCACGTAAACACAGGGACAATAAGCAAACTTCACACACCGAACAGCGGCCGTAAATCGAACCCATGACCCTTCTGGTGGTTGGCCACTATGCAAGACCAGTGTAAAATTAATTATGAACTATAAGTTTTAGTCATTTGTCACTCTGGGTAAGACTATTTGTCCAGTAACCACCGCCCCTATTTTGTACTTGCTTTGATTACCACCTGTTGTAAACAAGTGGAATACAGAGTTCCCTGTACGCAGCGTTCGAAATACCAACAACGCCAGTATTCGGTCACATGACTTTCTAGAGGGTCCTAGTCACATGACCCCCCCGGAAAGCTCACGATATTGAGTCGCGCTAGTCGGTCGTTTATACCTATTTCTCGCAAAACAAGGCAGTGAAATCACAGTCTTGCGTGCCGCAGCTATAAGAAACCGCTTAACCCGCTGATGTTGCCGGAAATGTCCAATACAAAAAAACAGATACATACCGAAAGTAAACGAAATTTATGTTTTTTTTTGTTATTGAACACCTTACTGAGAGGAACACATTACACCAAATGGCACTTGAATACCAAAATAACTATTTTGAGCTTATAATATTGGTAATGACATTTACGCCCGCGGGAGTACTTGCTAAAAGACCCCAGCACCGGTGCTTCCTGGCCTCGTCACTTTCAACTAGTATCCGACTGGCCTCGACCTCTGTAGCCTGTACAGTTAATTAGCAAAAACAGAATCCATATAAAACACAGAACATCTGCTTACCTGCCCATTTAACGAATCCCTACCAGACAGCCCGACATTAACAACAGCTCCTCTCGCAGTCCGAGCGCGTTCGCAGTACTTCCGCCTACGTCACGGCGCGTGGCCGTCATCTCAGTGCGTGTAGAAGAGCGGTTGTACCGATCTGCTGGTAGAACTTCATAGTGTGAGGAGGTTCACTAGTCCTCCGCTGGTTATTTATCACAATAAAGTACTAAATGTATTAAAAACTCATTTAAGCCGAGCGCAAGCGTGCTGTGCAGTTACTGTTATATCTTTATTTTGTTACTGACAGCACTTCAATTTTGTATTTTGCACATTTTTTAGTAGACGCCTACATTTTGAGAAAATGGAATAGGTGGAATTAAGGCACATCGCCCCCAGGTTTTGTGTGTAAATTTGTGACTAACTGAAATTTTGCCATTGACTACCTCTGAAACTCGGTTTCATTGCATGGAATATTTTGTAGCCTAATGTTAACAACATTAGCGCTTTTAGGGTTTATTATGTTTACATAATAAACATAATAAAATTCTGAGAAAAATGTTTACCTAACCAAATGAGTATAATGAGGAAGAAAAGCAGTCAACCTAGGCGCATGTTCATTAATTTTCTGCCCTTTAAATGTAGTTGTTGTTTAATTGAATAATATATGTTACTTTAGAAAACTGCCCAAAATCTCCTGGCTTTACCATGTGTCCTCATACCATGCCTTGTCACAACCACCTGTGGTGACCGTCATTGGTGAGAATGATTTGTTTTCATCGGTGTGAGGAAAAATGAGTCAGACTAGTTTAGGGGCCATGGTGCAGTTTTCACTGAAGTTTGCGTTAAGAAAACATGGATGTGGTCAACACAATCTTTTGGGGTTACAGGAAATTTGGATGCAGACAGAAAATCCGTGGATATTTTCCGCTGCAGTTACTGGAGCACCGCTGTGGAGTCTTCAGAATGTTGTTACTCAAGCTCCTGCCAAATATTTTTAAAATGCCTGTTGGTCCATATGTTTGTCTCAGAAATCACAGAAGTCTGATTCACGTCTAAAAGATCTAACGGATATGTTACTTTCTGCCTGACTCTGCTCCTTTATCCTAAGTCTGTGAGCTGATGAATTGTAATTCAAGTAATTCAAATTGTCCTACTTAACAGATTAAGATCCTCTGTATAATATTTTGTGTTAACATTGTGTTCAGTGCTCATGATGATTATGGTAAAATATTTACCCAAAGCTGGAATACAGAACATAATATATGTAATGTGATGTTATGCACTGATGTGTAAATTTCTAATTCTGTAGTCACATACACTATATGCTCAGGTCTATAAACCTGTATCCAATATTGTCAGCACAGCATACATATTATGAACAGTGGATCGATCCAACGTATAGACTCCTGAAGGAGGATTTTAGTAAAACGTGGAAACACCAAAATAACTATTTTGGTTATTTCGCGAGTTTAAGTGATCATTAATGATCACTTAAACTCGCGAATTTGCGAATCATATTATTTGCGAATTAATCATTTCACCATCAACCGTAAATGTTTATGTTTGATGATAGATGATGAATATAATGGTGATTCTTCTTCTTCTTCTTCTTCTTCTTATTATTATTATTATTATTATTATTACTATGTTTGTATGCATAATGGGCTTGAAAGGGTTAAGGTCTTTATGCTAACACTCCTCGCTTCGCTGTCGCTGCTCATAGCATCCCTTCACTCTGACTCCTCCTCCATTCCACACTCCAGCATCAGGACCATATCCTGCATTTTTCTGGAGTATACAGTAGGGGGACAGGTTACGCCGGCGCCTCCGCGCACAGCGCTGTCAAGTAGGAGACGAAAGGATCTCCAGCGTGCCCTTAGGAGACAAGTCCTTGCAAGCACATACCTGAATCTGGAGCTTGCAAAATAAAGAATAACAGATATGGAGAATCTGTTAGATAATCCCATGAAAGCCGTGCTCTATTTGAAAGAGCTAACCACCATTGTACAGAACCAGCAAAGTCTGATTCAGACGCAAAGACAGCGGATTGACGAACTAGAGCGGAAGGTGGAGGAACTGATCGGCGAAAACCACCAGCTAAAGGAGCCGCTGAAACCGCCTCAGTATCACCATCAGCACCAACACGCTTCGCCGCCGAGCAGCAGCCCGCAGCCTCCCGTCCCGCTGCATCGTCATCCTGCGAATAAAGCCGGCACCGCTACCGGCCACGGCCAGCCTACGCAGCAGCAAACTCCTCTGCTCACAGGGACGCAGCATCCACCTCCGCCGGCTCACCAGCAGCAGCAGCAGCAGCTCCAGCTCCTACCGACGTCCCCACAAGCCGAGCGGTCCAGCCCCCAGTCCGTGGAGGACTTTAAGAAAAGCCCTTGTTGCAGGTCCTTGGTCTCCCAGTTACCTTCATCGCTCTGCAGGACGGTGGGACTCGCTGGAAAGGCAGAGTGAGTCTGGAGACCTTACGATTATATGGACGCGTATAAGTTATAATGAATGTCTTTACACTCGGGTCGTTTTAAACTACTTAAGGAAATTAGTTATAATTATACACAAAATATAATTATACAACCAAAAGGGAAATGCAGACGGTGCATAGTCGCCAATAACAAAACATTACAGAAAAGCTGGGATAATTTGTATTGTTGGTACGTTTTAATTAAAAACTTAAGTACAGTATTTCATCTGGGGATCATCACGTGCATTTGACAAACGTAACACTTATTAAAGCACTATAGAAGCGCTATTGGATAGAGCAGGAGTATTGCTTCCGATATTTAGCTTAATATTTTCATTGTATTTCTCCCCTAATCGAGGTTACCGAGACCGCAGAAGCCCTATAGGATGGGACAACGGGAGGGGGTCTTGGCAGAAGGATATGGGGAATTTAAAGGACGACTGGTTCTTGCCTTATCCCGCTTAAAATTAAAAGAGGCTAGTATTATTTTTAGTCAAATCCTTTCCGCTCTCTAAACACTTCAGAAAACAACACCATGAACCACATTTCAGCCTAAACTACACTGATTATGAGGCACGGTGTGTTTGTTTTTGTTTTACCAGTATTATTAAGATATTTCATTCATCACAATAAAAGTAGGCCCAAAGTAAAATTGCGATATGACGAAATCTAATTAATGTCAGTGAACAAGAAAAAAATAAAATATTTTCATGCATGTTGATTAAAAGTAAATAATTACAATGATACATTACAGAGAAATTACAAAAGAAAATCGCAATAAATGAACTAGGTTCGTCATTTCATGTAAGCATGTAACGTGTTACTCTGTTGTGGGCTATTAATAAGTGATTCCAGTAACTACCATTAATGAATTCCCGCTACTTTTTTCGCTTTAAGTATGAAGTATAAAGCATCAGAGATCGGTGACCGAAGAAACTTCACAGGGATGAAATAACACCTTAAAAGGTGTTTTTGGTAGGCGGATTATCGCTCCTTATTTAAGCATTCGTACATGACTATTATGATGACGGTAGCCGTGATAAGATAATCACACTGATGATGACGATGCTGATGACGACTTCTACTGCTATTATTATTATTATTATTACTACAACATACTTGTCTAACCTGAAAAGGTGCTTGTTAATCACCGTACTACGCTCGTGAAACATTCTGTCCGTATAAAAGTTTTCGATCAGCCCCCGCTAACAGCGCTGTGTTACTGGCGGCTCGGTTTACACCGCAATATAAAAGGGGGCACACAGCGGTCTGGGGTGTTAACTGAACAAGTTAAAGTTTATTGAAAACAGGGCATTAAAGAGCACCGCAATGGGCAGGATAAGATTGTCCAGGGGAAAATAAAGTCAGAATTGTTTAGTTCAAAAAGGTGAGATCACGATCTCACGTGTGTGAGACGGAGGAGGGACTAAGGAGCTTATGGGGGCGTGGTCAGTGAAGCTAGCTTACATATAATCAATTAGAGAAGTTATGTTTCAGATAAATCAACAGAAACCGATTAATACCTCATACTGGATGGTATGGCTCAGTCATTTGTGGCAGATGGGTATTACAGCAGTATAAGATGGTTAAATAGTTGAATATCAACTTTGCTGAGAAAGATGACTATAGGGGCCACATCATAAGCGTCACATGTCCGTTACAGCACGGTTCCGTTCGCTTGTCCAGGCTTCTCACTTCAGATGTGTTCCTGTTTCCTTTCTGGCTTTTTGAGGGTCGCCACAGTAAACGGTTTAACGGGAGAGAGATACCTCATTAGACGCTCCTTTTGAACTATCCGCCGTACATTAGGAGAAATCTCTGTCACCCTAGACTCCCGACTGCTCTCTGTGGACATCATAACGGCTCGGAGGCTGTTTCTGACACCTCATTGATTACTATCGAGAGTCGGAGCATAGAGACGGCCTGTATTCTGTTTACCATCTACTGATTTTCTCCAGGGCCATAAATCCTACTTTTTTTTTTCTCAATCCATGCCATAGTTAATACTTAATGGCTGTTTTTTCTGCTGGCATATTAAAAGTTTTATTGATGAACAGATTGCTAAACAGCCTGCAGATAAACACTGTAGCAGTTTGGTAAGAATTATTAGCTAAGAGTCTCCTATAAAGTGATGGTTATGTGCCGACTGCAGTAACAGGCGATCCAGCTTGGGGGGTGTTCAGCTCCCGAACAGCGGTGGATGTGGGCTCCAGCTTGAGGGGTGTTCAGCTCCCGAACAGCGGTGGATGTGGGCTCCAGCTTGGGGGGTGTTCAGCTCCCGAACAGCGGTGGATGTGGGCTCCAGCTTGGGGGGTGTTCAGCTCCCAAACAGTGGTGGATGTGGGCTCCAGCTTGAGGGGTGTTCAGCTCCCGAACAGTGGTGGATGTGGGCTCCAGCTTGAGGGGTGTTCAGCTCCCGAACAGCGGTGGATGTGGGCTCCAGCTTGAGGGGTGTTCAGCTCCCGAACAGCGGTGGATGTGGGCTCCAGCTTGAGGGGTGTTCGGCTCCCGAACAGCGGTGGATGTGGGCTCCAGCTTGGGGGGTGTTCGGCTCCCGAACAGCGGTGGATGTGGGCTCCAGCTTGGGGGGTGTTCGGCTCCCGAACAGCGGTGGATGTGGGCTGTTTCTGCTGAATGGGGGAGACCCAAGGCGTTTCATAACCTGATTTGTCAATTCTGATGGGATTCCCACGCCATGCTCTTTTTCTGATAGTACTACAGAGCTCATTTAACACTGACGGGGTTCTTGTGAAAACACTATCTCTCGTTTCCATGTGAACATTACATTAATCTGGCTGCACGTTGCTTCTGAACTATGAAATGGACGACAGGCCTGCTGGTGTTTGATCATCATCATTATCGCCGGCAGAGGTGGACATTTCAGGTCCAGAAAGTAAAAATCCAAACCAGGATTTCATGTCAACCAACCAGTTGAGTACTCTATGACTGTGACTCTTTATGCTCAACTGGTTGGTTGAAATGAAATCCTGGTTTGGAATTTTACTTTCTGGACCTGAAATGTCCACCTCTGATCGCCGGTGATCATCCGCAGATGTTCCTGTGGATCTGGAAGAGCGTGCAATGGTGACTGTATAAGCCAGGCTTGTTTGTAAATCCCTCATGAGCACATCAGCTATATCAAAAGCGTTGGGGGAGTTTTGCAAACCCTACAGACTATTTACAAGGTAATAAAACTGTGACATACATGTAAACGCATGTGCGTGTGTGTGTGTGTGTTTGTGTGTGTATGTGTGTGCAGACTCTCGAGTTGGAAATCTCACTCCAGCCAGCTGAGCACAGTTAGCAGTCCTGCTGCTTCTTGTTATCTGTTCCTTTGTAATACTTACAATATTTGCATCATGTTTACATTGTACTGCAGTATATGTTTATATGGCACTGCAGTATATGTTTATATGGCACTGCAGTATATGTTTATATGGCACTGCAGTATATGTTTATATGGCACTGTAGTATATGTTTATATGGCACTGCAGTATA